CAAAACCCCAAAACCCCAAAACCCCAAAACCCCAAAACCCCAAAACCCCAATTTCCATCAACCCATTTGATAAATAAATATTTTATATTTGAAAGAGATGAGCAAAGGGAGACAAGCTTCTAACGAAGATTGGGTGGAATATGATAAACTCCAGAAATCAATGTATTTGCAGAACAAACACTTGGAGTCAGGAACTAAATCTCATCGGTTCGATCCGCACAAATATTTCGGAGGTTGGACTCGTCTTGAAAGAGCCACAATTGACAGCATAAAAATTAAGGTAAAAGCCTGTAAATTGATGGAATTCGATGATAGTGATAGTCCCAAGATACTAGAGAGCCATCTTGAGATTGAAGGCAAAGAGTCTTCAGCAAACCCAAGCATCGCTGAGGAGGATTCGCCTGATCCTGTAATACCTAAGTTAAAAATCAAGAATACGAAATCTATTAATAACAAGTTGTACTTGAACAAGCCCTATAATCGACAAGCTATGACCGGGTTTCGGAATGGTTGTCGGACAAAATTGAAAGATGCACGAATGGATATGAAACTTTCTATGCAGGTAGACCAAAAAGGGAAGAACAAATAAAATCCACTCAATTTCATTCAAAGGAGAGAAGAACATTAATAGGTCAAAGGACTTTGATCCGAAAAAGCCATTAAGAAAGTTCAATTACCTTTCGCAGATAAAATCATCTAACTCATCATTTAAAAGCTCTACGTTCATGGAGAGTAACATCAGCTCAACGATTTGGGAAGTTGGAGTGAACAAAAATTTATTAGCTATGAAATAATCAGTCGTTCGAGCATGTCCGCTTCTCGCCAATACAGAAAACCAAGCAAAATAGTTCAAGCAAGCAGAAGAACATTTACACCGATACATTATTGGTGAATGAGAAGCTGAAAAGACTCCAGAAGCCGAACTCAGTGCTGGAAAATAAGGAATACTTCGTGAAGAACACAAAGTTTCATAAGCCTAGAAAGTCAACTAAGATGATTTTGTACGCTGAGAAGTTAAAGAAGAAACAGAAAAGTCATGATTACAAGGACCTGAGTGGGTCTAAAGACAGGAATAATATCACCGCTCAGTCTCCTCATAGTCGAGCTACCACTGCTGCTACTTCTAAACAAGCTGCCTTACTTTATGGGGAACGAATGTTTATGAGCAAGTACAGTAATAAGCCAAAGTTTTTGAAAACACTCAATTCTACTCTTTCCCCACGAAAATAGGCCACAAGCCAGTTTGGATGAATCTAGAAGTAATTAATCATTCTTTTATTCGATAAGGGTGAAAGATAATATAATTTTCCTTACAATTTTTCAACACAGTTCATTAAAATAGGGGTTTTGGGGTTTTGGGGTTTTGGGGTTTTGGGGTTTTGGGG